TGCTCTGATTCAGCTGCTGATTCATGGCCCGAATGCCTTCAGCAGCCAGGACTGGACCAGCTTGAAGCTGGGAGTGCAGCTGGCACTAGAAACTCAATTCAGGCCTCCCACATGGTTCTCAGCAAGCCAGTTACTTGAGCCATCACCCTGTTTTCCAGCATCTGTATTAGTGAAGTTAGACTCCTGAGTCAGAGCTAGCCTTTGACTGTGACATGGAGCAAGGACATCTTAACCAATGTTTAAGCCCAAGGTCAACTGCTTGCTCCTGCTACTAGTCTTTATAGAGTCAAAAGATCTCCCTGATATGCAGATACGAGTAGAATTGCTGGATGTATGTAAACTGTTATCCATTGATAAGATTTCAAGCCTGATTTCCAAAGTGGCTGCACCATTTTACATTCCAAATACTGGTATGTGAAATTGTCAAATGTGAAAGTTCCAACTTCTCTGACCTTTCCAACAACTTGATATCACAATTGTGTAATATTTCATTTTTCTTATTATAGAGTTTTAGTGACATCTCATTCTACTGCCTTCCTTCACTTTTTATTTGGATGATATGGACTTGTTTCTAAAGCTGTGATGTAACAATTATTTCCATAAGGAAGCTTCATCTTGACCAAGCCATCCTAAACTAGCTTAGGCTTCTCTTAGAAAAACGTCTCCTTGTTTCCTAAACTCCAACGCAACCTAGGAGGACACATTTCATCTATTAAAGTGGTTTCCCAAGCCACTGTGTGAACTATATTTAAAATCTATCAAAAGGGAGAGAACATTGTGGTATGGTGAGTTAACACTTAGGTCACCTGCCTGCAAAAAATCCAAGTTCATGACCCAGCCACTCTACTTCTGATTCAGCAATTGAATCCTGAGAAGCAGCAGATGATGGCTTAAGTGTTTGAGACCGACACCTAATTGGGAGATCTGAAGTTTTATGTTTTTGGCTTCTGTTTGGTCTAACCGAATCATTTAGGGAATAAACCAATGGATGATAGAGTTCTCTATCACTCTAAAACTCTGTCTTTCTAACAGGTGGAAATGAACGTTTTAAAGGAATTATTTTTGTTTGAAAAGCAGAGTTGCAGAGAGAAAAACAGACAAAGAGAAATCTCCCATCCCTTGGTTCTCTGGCAGGTGCTAGGACAGTTCAAACCAAGGAGCTTCCTCTGGATCTCACATGTGGGTGGGTACAGGGGCCCAAAGACTTGGACCATCTTTTACTGCTTTCTCACATATTAGCAGAGAGCTGGTTCAAAAGTGGAGCAACCAGGATTCAAACTGATGCCCATACTGGATGGCAGCACTTCTAGTGCCATGCCATGGCATCAATCCTGAAAATAAATATTTTTTTAAAGATTTATTTTATTTTTAATGGAAAGGTAGATATACAGAGAGGAGAGACAGAGAGGAAGATCTTCCGTCTGATGATTCACTCCCCAAGTCAGCGCAACGGCCGATGCTATACCAATCCGAAGCCAGGAGCCTCCTCCGGGTCTCCCACACGGGCGCAGGGTCCCACGGCTTTGGGCTGTCCTCGACTGCTTTCCCAGGCCACAGGCAGGGAGCTGGATGGGAAGCAGGGCTACCGGGATTAGAACTGGCACCCAAATGGGATCCCGGGCGTGCAAGGCAAGGACCTTAACCACTGTGCCATCATGCCGGGCCCAAAAATAAATATTTTAAAAAATATATTAAATGAGGGGGCTGGCACTTTGGCATAGCAAGTTAAGCCTCTACCCACAGCATCCCATAAGGGTGCCAGTTAGATTCCCAGCAGCTCCACATCTGATCCAACTCCCTACTAGTGGCCTGGGAAGGCAGTGGAGGGGGACCTACGTGTTTGGGCTGTTGTACTCATATTGTAGGCATGAAAGAGGTTCCTGGCTTCAGACCAGCCTGGCTCTGGTCATTGCAGCAATTGGGGCATGAAGCAGCAGATGGAAGCTCTCTTGTTTTTCTCTCTATGTAACTCTACCTTTCAAATAAAATCAAATTTTTAATATATATGTTAAATGAATATTACAATATGAGGAAAATATGTTAGCTGGAAATCACATGCAGAGTAACACTTGGCTTGACTACATTTTAAATCTTTGTTCTTCAGTATTCCTACAGACTAAACTGTTAAGGAATATTTTAGTATCTCTGACAAGAACAAGAAATGGGCTCTGTAACATAACTATAACAAATGTTTCCATTTTCCTGAATTTTATTGAAGTTGTACAGTGTATGTCAGGGTTATTTTTTTAATCCTTTGTAAGGAAAGTCAATAACCATGAGCACAATCAAGTGAACTACATAAATAGTTCTTTCTTAAATCAAGCGGAAAATGAAAAAGAACATGCTTTTGAGAACCAAGAAACTTAAGGAAATCAAGTTTTCCCACCTGATCTGTCAGCTAGGCCAATCTCCTAGAGATGTCAGTTCAGTCCTATAGGGATGGAGCTCAGGAATATGCATTTTTAAAAATGCCTCGAGTAACTCCAGTGTCAGTGGCCCATTAACTTTGATTAAATATTTATTCCCAGTTCACGTCCTCATTGTTTAGTAGAACAATATTATGCAGAAGTGAAAAATCCCACTCTGGGGCCCTGCGCAGTAGCCTATTGGCTAAAGTCCTCACCTTGAACGCGCCAGGATCTCATATGGGCACCAGTTCATGTCCCAGCTGCTCCACTTCCCATCCAGCTCCCTGCTTGTGGCCTGGGAAAGCAGTCAAGGACTGCCCAAAGCCTTGGGACCCTGCATCCATGTGGGAGACCCAGAGGAGGCTCCTGGCTCCGGCTTTGGATCAGCTCAGCTCTGGCTGTTGCAGCCACTTGGGGAGTAAACTAATGGATGGACGATCTTTCTCTCTGTAGCTCCTCTCTGTAAATCTGAGTTTCCAATCAAAACAAGTAAATCTTTGAAAAAAAAAAATCCCACTCTGGAATCTAATACAAGTATAAATCTCTGATCCAATATTTATCCATGATGTGGCTCAAGAAATTTCAAATGTTAGTTGTAATGGCTGCTAATTTACCCTTTTAGTATTAGTCTTAATCATAAAAGGCTGTATACAACAAATCTGTTGCCAAGAGATCAGATTTGACTGAGTAAGAAAAATACTCCTACATTTACCAGGTTCATCAATAGTTTTATCATCACGGTTACTCTGTAGATGATTTGCAGGCAGTATTTTATTGAGTAAGTGAGCCTCATTCATGCCTGTATCCCAGCGCCTCCCTAAGAACACCTTCTGGCTGCTGTCACACTGAATTACAGTTTGCCACTTATCATTGCTTCAATAGGGATACTATATAGGCTATACCACATCTTTCTTAGGTGTCATTTCCTGGAGCAAAAGTACTGCTCAAGTATGTTACTTATTTCTATCAAGTAGTATACCTCGTCTGATATGATAATAGAACACTCTCCAAATATAGGACATCTAAAAGTTCAACTGAAACAGGATTTATGAGAGCAAGTGTATGGCCCCATAGCCAAGCCCTGCTTGGGACACCCCTGACTTACATCTGAGGATGGGCTTGAGTCCAAGCTCCTCTTTGCACTTGAGCTTCTAGTTAAAGTGCACCTTGTGAGGCAGCAATTGATGGTTCAACAGCAACCCGTGCGGAGATCAAAATTGAGCTAGAGGTTCCTAACGTTCCCCAAGCTCATCTCCAGATGTTGTGGGAATTGCAAGAGTAAACTAGTGAATAAGACGTTTCTTTGTTTCTTCCTTTCAAATAAGCAAAATGAGAAATTATGCAAGTACCTTAGGAAGATACTTGAATTTTTAAAATTAGGATAGATGCTGGACTTTATGCTAGGCATATGCTTGCAATGAAGGAATCTCAACTGAACTTGAACTGAGGTTATGCAGCAAGGTGGAGGAATCCACTATGGGGGGAGGGGGGAGGGAGGGGTGGGGAGAATCCTCAGTGCCTATAAAACTATCACATAATACAATGTTAATAACAAAAAAAAATAAAAAATAAAAGTAAAAAAAATTAGGATATATAAGTCATCTTACAGAATTAAGAGTTTCCATTTGCTTATCCAGGCACTGAGTGTCTGTCAAATGTCAGGCTGTGGGGATGCACAAAGCAGAAAACCAAGATCCACCACTATTGTGGAGACAGGCTAACTACTGAGGGACTAGTGAGACCAATAAATAAATAACAAAGGAATCCGATAATGTTACTAGGACTACTGCACCAGACAGGGAGGGCTCCAAGTGAAATTTAACAGTGATGTGATGACGAACCCTCAAAGGAAAAGAGAGCCGTTTTATCAACACCCAGGAAAAAGTTCTTCTAGGAGATGTTTGAACTGATGCCTAAATGCCAAGGAGTCAGACGGGGCAAAGAGCCAAAGGTGTAGAGTGACTTGGGAAAGGGTGATAGTCTATGGCGAGACCCCAATACTACAACTACTGAACAGAAATCAGGGCCCCATATGATTGGAACAAGCTGATAAAGGACAAATCAATACAGGGAGATGTTGGGGACACAGCTGGGAGAACAGGATAAAAGTCCTAGCAGAAAATGCTTGGAGAACTCAAGAAGGAGGATTCTAAAATCTAATCCAGCACCATGTCGGGTTCCCTTTCCCTTTCCAGCTCTTATGAAATCCAACTGAATGGTGTTAACAGCAATTTTTCTTTCATGTTTCCAGCTATAACCTATAAACTCCTCAACTAATCCATCAGGTTAGCATACCGTAAAATTCCCAAGTCACATCTCACTTTGTAACAGGTGTGGAGAACATTTGACCTTTGAGCTTCTTAAGCCCTGCAAAATCATTTGATCTGGGCCTACCAAGGCACTTGTAATTCGATGAATCTATACCAAACTTTTAAGTTGATAACTGTGTATCTTGATTGATACTATAAATATCTAAATGGACCTTAGCATCCAAGGGCCCTTGGTCCCTGCTAGGAGATGGACATCATCAATACTGTCTGCTTTGCTCTCTGTGTCACTTACAAGAGTGTTTCTTTCCATCTGCCAACATAGGCTGCACCAGGTGACGTTTGAGGTGCCTACCTGCGAGGGCAAGGCAAGGCAGAAGCTGGCGTTGATTGGCGATTCCTCATCTTCGGCAGAGTTCTTCGTCACCGTGGCTGTCTTCGCCTTCCTCTACTCTCTGGCTGCCACTGTCGTGTACATTTTCTTCCAGAACAAATACCGAGAAAACAACCGGGGTCCATTCATAGTAAGTGATTCTCTTTTTGAAACAAATTTTTTTGTCTCTCTTCTGATTTCTTTTTAATAATGCTTGAGCAACTCTAGAGTGACCTGAACCTTTGCAGCAGCTATTCAAGATAAAATCATATTCTTTTTCATCCAAAAACTCTTGGATCTCTAGCAAAAAAACATGATGGCTGTCAATTACTTGTGTCCCTGCTTGGGCAAACTATTATAAGACTTGTTAGAAACCTCTAAAACTAATTATTGGAAATCTGTTGAGCTCAAGGAAAGAGTTGGGAAGCTTACTGCTGGATTTATTCCAGCTCTGTGCAGTAAGTCACCCATTTTTCTCACTGTTTGTATGAACTGAGACTGGTGCTCTTTTAAAATGTGTTATTTCCCTATATGTGATAGACTGGGCCGAGAAGTGTTTAAGATGGAGTTCCATCTCCACGTATCTCCCCGTTCTCATCTGTCTGCACTGTCAGCCACCCCCTCTCCGCCCCCTTCCCTAGCTCCACTCTCTGTTGCCTTATACAATGGTCTCAAAATTCACAAGGCTAACACCAGGATGACCCAGCATTTCCATATACAGACACTCGTACATCTAAGTGGACCACGGCAGTTCTCAAAGGGGTACATGACATGGATCATTTTAAGGAAATATTAAATATTTAAGCCTTGTCATGTATGCATGTATGTATGCCTAAAAAGCATCATCCCAAGAATGTTTGATCTGAAAATATCTTGCTGTCTTGCTCTTACAAAAGTATTCTTTCCTAGCATCCAAAAATCTTATAATGAAATGAAATGTATGTATTTGTTAAGCTAATAATACATTAACTGTGAGAATTTCAATAGCCACTTTACAATTACGTGAGAGAGGCTGGCATGGTAGCACAGCAGGTTACACTTTTGTGGAACTCCCTCATGTCCAGCCCACTACAGAGTGCCTCATTTTATCCCAGCAACTCCGCTTACCCTACAGCTTCCAGCTAATGCATCTGAGAACCAGTGGATGAAGACCCAAGTACTTGGGTATCTAAAACCCCTCTGGGAGGTGTGGGTAGACTCCCTGGCTCCTGGCTTTAGTGTGGCCTGACACCTGCTACTGCAGGATTTGGAGAGTGAAGCAGCACATGGAAGAATCTCTCCTCCTCTCTGTGTGTCAGCCTGCCTCTCACAATTTAAACAGATTTTGTGGGGAAAGGGGGCTGTGCTATTCAAACTCTGCTGTTTTTATCAGTGAAACCAAAATGACCAAAGGTAGTTTATACAACAAGGAGTGTATACTCATTGCAGGCACACAGTGGTCTCTTGGTTCAGATTTGCTTTTTGCCCAATGTATGCCAAATGTCTTCATGGCTCCCTAGTCGGCCTCAAAAACAGTCCTGAGAGACAAGCGAAGCAAGGAGGCCACATTCTACAGATCCAAATTAATCCTACATTATCAAGCACCAGACGTTGGGAAATGAGTCCGTGGCTGCTGTCAGAGAAGTTAATGACAGAACAAGGACTGACACTGGTAAGCCTGTGGATCTTAAAAGGTAGTGGCTAAAATACGGAGTCCTGGATTTTTGACCCTCCGTGTGACTTTCTGTTATAAAGAGAAGTAAAACCCACAAAACACTTTGCCCTGGAAAAGGTAGACAGTGAGTGACAAATTAACAGCATCTCATTGTAACACCATTATTGCCATTATTTTTACTTATTCTCCTACCTCAGTACTAGGCAGTGCCTTAGTTCTACAAAGGTAAATTGCAGGCACCTTCCTTTAATTCACTGAGGCTTCACGCTTCCACTTTCTGCTGGTCCCTGAATCTATTCCAAGTGCCATCTGCTCCTCCCATGCCCCCCAAGGATAAGCTTGACTAAGGGCCACTTCTAAACTCAGTCACTAGATGGAGGCATCCAATGAACCTTTCTGTTCCTCTGAGGGGTCTTATGGGCAACTAGAAGGGAGACTCGTAACCATCGTAGACTGCAGTCCGGCTGTCCATATTGAAGCACGGGCTGAGGCCATCACTGAGGAGGAAAACAGGAGACAAGTACAGAGCTGGATATCCAAAGAAAGACTGTCAGCTGGCCCTGTACTTGGGTGTAGCCGGAGATGGAAAGAAGATGTCACAGACTCTGAATTCTTTGGAAATTGCCAGGAAATCTGTCTCTCCTCATCCCTTCCCCCTCTATGATGCCTGCATCTTTTTTTTTTCTGTTTTCTCTACTCTCTCTCTCTCTCTCATCCTTTCAGGTCCACTTCTGACTATATTCCATGTTAGCATATTAGAAAGTGTCTTTATGTGACCGTGCAACACAAATACACAGGTGAATCAAAACCATCCAGTGTGGCGAGGAAGGTTAGTGGTCCTTGAAACCTGCCCATAGTGTCCTTGAGGGAGAAGCATGTTTGCCCTGGGGAAGGGAAGGGCCTTCTGCCTCTTCCACACCTCTACTGGGGTGGACTTATTATAAACACAATTCCTGGACAGCCAGGGTTTGATGCTAAAGATAACATTATTTTCAGCCCTGAATGTATTTCTCTTGCTTACTACAGGGAAACCTGTCAGAATCACTTATTTGACATTTCTCCAGCCCACCACCTATATTATTTATCAGATTTTTGCATTCTCAACTTCTTTTTCAGCTTCTTCATGATTAGGTAATTTTTCTTACAGATTTTTGCTTTTATTCGAAAGACAGATATACAGAAAAAGGACATACACAGAGAAAGATTCCAGCCACTGATTCACTCCCCAAGTGGCCACAATGGCCAGAGCTGAGCCAATATGAAGCCAGGAGTCAGCAGCATCCTTCCAGTCTCCCACGTGGTGCAGGGCCCTAAGGCTTTGAGCCATCCTCTACCACTTTCCCAGGACACAAATAGGGAGATGGATGGGAAGTGGAGCAGCCAGGACACAAACTGGCACCTATATGGGATCCCAGTTCATACAAGGCAAGGATTTAACCACTAGGCTATTGCACATGGCCCAGATAAACTAACTGTTAATCACAATTCAAATGGAGATTAATTCCCTCCATACTTGGTACCATGTTTCTCCATCTGCTAGTTAAGCCCAGAGAAGAGTTGTGGTCCAATAGCTGTAATAAAGGCAGTGAACTGTTTAAAGAATTGAGAAGTCGTCCAGAGTTCACAGCTGCCTTGGGGAGGATCAGGGCAAATGTGTGCCCTGGCCCCATTCATTTTAAACAGAGTTTCTCTATGCCAGGGAACTCTTCACCCCAACAGAAAGGGAGTTTTTGACTAACAGAAACTTGGCAAAACCCCAAGTGTGTCTTGATTGTCTTTCCCTTTTCATCTAAAACAAAATCAAGTATGAAATGTGCTCACTCCCTGGCTCAGCACACCAGGGGAGACCATACTCCCTTTCTTGAATAAACCCGTGGGTTGAGGTTGTTCTTTGCTTGATTGCTTTTGTTTGGAAGACAGGAGATATTCCATCACTGGCTCAGTGCCCAGTGGCCCACAACAGCATGGGCTGGGCAAGGCAGAGAGCAGGAGTCAGTAACTCAATCTGGTCTCTTAAGTTACACAGATCTGAGACAACACCTGCTGTCCCATGAGTGTGCATTAGCAGGAAGATGGAATCCCAAGTGGAGCTGGAACCCCAACCCAGACATTCCTACATGGAATGTGGGCGTGGCAAGCAGTGTCTAACAGCTGCATTCACTGTCAACCCCAAGACTGATCTCCACTCCTGGCTAGGAGGTTGGTAGTGATACCCCCACAGCCCATCTTAGTCCACTGTGCTTTTACAACAAAATACCTGAGGCTGGATCATTAATAGAGAGCTTTAGCTTATTTCCTTACAGTTCTGGAGGCTTAGCAAGTCCAAGTTCAAGGCAACAGCAGATTCTCTAGTCTGGTGAGAGTTGCTCCCTTCTTCCCTGTCTACTGCATCTCCCGGAATGTTGTGAAAGGTAGAAGTGCCAGAGAGCTGAACACATGTGATGTTTCTTTTATAAAACCGATCACATCAGTGGTGGGCCCTAATCTCATGAAGGAGGAGCCCTTAAAACCCAATTACCTCACCTTAGTACTGTCTCACCTTAGTACTGTCACTCAGCTACTGCCTGAATTTTGGGGGGCTAGTAGAGGGATGCTATGGTTTCAACTTGTGCTCATCAAAACTTCATGTGGTGCCAAAGTGCTAGTACAAATTGGTGGCACCTGTAGGTGGCAATTAGGCCCTGAGGACTTCTTTGTGGATGGAATTGGAGCCCAATAAAAGGGGCTTTGCAGTGTTCAGCTCCCTTGACCTTCATCCTTCCTCCAGAGCATGCAATAAAGTGCCACCCCAGAAGCAGAGAACAGCCCTCACTGAACCACAGACCCTGCTGTTGCCTTGGCTGTGGGCTGTGCAGGCTTCCTCACTGCGAGAACATGCATTTCTGCACTTGCTGAATTATCCAGTCTCACCTATCAATTTTAACAGCACAAATGGACTAAGACACTCTCCCCTTTGGGTTATTGGGCCATGTCCAGAGGCATTTTTCATTTCCATTACCAGGATGCTTTACTGGTATCCTGCAAACTGGGGCATGGGATGGTGTTAAAGACCTTGCAGTGAGCAACAACGCACAAGATTCTCCATGTCCAGGTAAAAGTGGCCTGATTTATAGCAACAATCAGCAGCCACTGAACACCTGCTATGTGTCAGGTGCTGCCACAGGCTTTTTAAATCCTTTTTTCTCCCTTAAAATCCTTAAGATAACATTCTGAATTTGGTATGTCAATTTAATTCCCATTGTTCAGATACAGAAACTGAGGCTGAGGACATTATTAGCCTTGTCTCAGGCTACTTGCCTCAGAGGCAATTCAAATCTGTCTGGTTTAAGCTCAGAAGTTGCTTCATTCTTCTTTGAATGATCCTACTAATGGAGAATGCTCTACCTCTCACTGTGTTCATTTCTCCAAGTTTGCTGGCTCCTGCCCACCACAAGCTCTCTGTCCTGTGTGCTCCCTGTCTTAGCTGCTCTCTCAATGGGCTTATAAGCTCTCACCCC